AAAATTAAAAAATTAAAAAAAAGTTGGGCCGGCCCTTGGCTCACTCGGGAGAGTGTGATGCTGATAACACCAAGGCCACGGGTTCGGATCCCATATAGGGATGGCCGGTTAGCTCAATGGGTGAGCATGGTGCTGACAACATCAAGGGTTAAGATCCCCTTACCGGTCATCTTTTAAAAAAAATAAAAATTAAAAAATTAAAAAAAAGTTGGGCCGGCCCTTGGCTCACTCGGGAGAGTGTGATGCTGATAACACCAAGGCCACGGGTTCGGATCCCATATAGGGATGGCCGGTTAGCTCAATGGGTGAGCATGGTGCTGACAACATCAAGGGTTAAGATCCCCTTACCGGTCATCTTTAAAAAAATAAATAAATAAAAGTTTATTTATTTATTAATATTTTTTTATGTTCTGTGACGTTGCAGAACAGTTGGTGGAGAGGGGGAAGGAAATAGGGTGGGAGAAGGAGGAAGGAGGAGGACCCTAGGAATCCCATGCAACTATCTCTATCTTTAAACCTTACAATTGTTTCTTTCCCATCAGTCTTAGGATCAAATCCACACCCTGTCCTGGCTTACAAGGCTGCATATGAACTTGCCCTCATCCCCCTCTGACCTCCTCTTCAACCCTCTCACCCTTTCTCAGTCCTCTCCCTATCACAGCTCCACCTTCTATACTTTCTTGCCCCAGGCCCTTGGAGCCTGTCCCCTTCCCCGGCCCATTTGGTCTGCTCCTTCTTCCTGAGAACTTCAAGGTCTTCAGAGACCACTTAATCTAAAGCACCCCTCTCCTCAAGAGCTCCTTTCCCTGGCACTGCCCTGCTGTGGGTCCTTCATAGCACTTGCCACATATATCTCTTGCTACTTCTTTGTTTTCTTGTCCCTCTTCTATCTTGTCTATCTTATTCATTGCTGTATCCCTCAGCTCTTGTGGTAGTGTCTTGGGAAAGGAACACATTCATTTGGGAATGAATGATTGAAAAACCTACACTGACCAAGCTCTTGTGGAGCTTACAGGCTAGTGAGAGAGAGACAAGTGTCTTGGTTTTCTGTCACTTATAACGGAATACCTGAAACTTTATAAGGAACACCTTATAAAGCCACCTGTGCCCCTCCTGTGATAATCTACTTTTCCATTAACCCATTAATTCATGAGTGGATCAATCCATTCATGAGGGTATAGCCCTCACGATCCAGTTACCTCCCAAAGGCCCCACCTTTCCAATATGATAGTCAGATTTCCCACCATCTTAAAAAAAACAAAAACAAAAAGATTTCCCACCATCCTAATATTGTTACAATGGGGATCAAGTTTCAAGATGAGCTTTGGAGGGGATACTCAAGCCATAGCAACAGGTATTGAACAATCGTCACTTAAAAATACCTTCTGTAGTCAACTTCTGGAAGAAATGTGTGACATAGGGCTCCTGAACACCTCCAAGGTCTTTCCTGATTTGCATCTCAGTCTTGTCCTCCCCAGTGACTGTCTTCTTGAAATTAGAGCCTGGGTTTTATTGAAGAGTGTGGCTTGCGTCGTCCCCAGAGGACCTAGCAAATTCATGACCTCCCAGGTGCACTGAGGCCAAGTCTGCTGAGATGACTTGCTCTGGATGTTTTATGTAGGCATGGAGTCCAGGCTCCTGAACTCCCAACTTTTTGCTTGTTATTAATAACAATATCAGTTATCATAAACAGCATTTCCAAAATTGCAGCTTTGGGCTAAGTCCTTCAAAGTGTCATCTCAGTTAAATGTCAACAATAATGCTATTATGTTCATACCATGACTATCCGATTTCACAGATGGCAACTATCTACTTCCTAGGGTCATTGTGAGGATTAAGTGAAATAATGTAGATTCATCACTTAATTCAGGGCCCGGCACATAGTAAATTCTCTATAAATGAGTTATTATAACAATGATAGCCAAGACAGAGTTTTCATTAGTAGTTGTAGCAATCTATACTTCCACCAGCAAAGAATGAAAGCTCTAGGTGCTCCATATCTTAACTGACACGCTCATCAACAATAGAACGGATAAAAAAATTTTGTTATATTCGTTCAATGGAATACTACACAACAATTAAAAGGACTAACCACTGAAACATGAAACAACATGGACAAATCTTACAGGCATAATGTTGAGCACAGGAAGCCAGACACATTTATTTGAAGTTTCCATTTATTTGAAGTTAAAGAAAAGGCAAAATTATGGTGACAGTGGTCAGAACAGTAGTTGCCTCCAGGGTGAGGGGTAATGAGTGGGAGGGGACTGAGGGAAACTTTAGATACCAGACATGTTCTATGTCTTGATCTTAGTGGTGGTTACATGGCTGTATACATATGTAAAAATTAGTTGAACTATATACCTATAATTTGTGCACTTTATTGAATGTACCTTATACTTTGGTAAAAAATAAAAGAATTATTTTTCAAAAAAATTTAAAGCAAGACAATCCTTGCCCATTGGGGTCTTCCAGTCTGGAAGGGTGGCAGTCATATAGAGAGGGCAGTTGTAGTACAGAGTGATAAGGGTTAGAATGTGGAATTCTGGGAGCTAAGACTTCATGGTGGGAGGGAGGCTTGGATGCCAAGAAGGTAGCATGAAGGTAGCAGCATCTAAGCCAGAAGGATGAGTACGTTCAGTAGAGGCAATAGAAATGATGTGTTTAGGCCTGCCCATGGCTCACTTGGGAGAGTGCGGTGCTGATAACACCAAGGCCATGGTTTGGATCCTATATAGGGATGGCTGGTTTGCTCACTGGCTGAGCGTGGTGCTGACACCACCAAGTCAAGGGTTAAGATCCCCTAACTGGTTACCTTTTAAAAAAAAAAAGAAAGAAAGAAAGAAATGATGTGTTTGAGGCCGTGGAAACAGCTTGCACAACACCTTGGAGTCTTCAGAAGTTATGGATGGCCACTTGTTTGGGGCAGATCAACTTTGGGTGTTTGGGTTCACTTCATTCTGTGCCAGCATCTGGTCTGGAGTTTCCAACCATTTGCTCAGCCTTGGGGGAGACAGTGGATTTCATCTGAGGTGGTGAAGCAACTGCTGTGCAGGGAGGGCAACACCTCCCTTCTGCCATGAGA